ATGCACTTAAAATCTTGATTCGCATATGCTGTTCTCTTTTTAAAATAATACACACGCATTCTCTCCCTTTCCTTTTCTTGGTATTTTCCCTAAATTCACAGAACCCCCCCCCCCCCGGTCTACCCCTTCTCCATTTACTCCTCACACACGCTCTCTGAACCCCAGCCCCTTCTCCTGCCCCATTGACCCTGACCTGAAAAATTGTAACAAATAAGACCCCTTTTGGAGGCCCTTCAGATGCCTGCAGTTAGTCAAGACCCCAGGCAACCTTTCCCACTGCCAGCCCATAAAGAAGCTTCCACCCTAGCCACCATGGAAAGGCCAGACCAGTCCCTCTGCTGTTCTAAAAGCAGCTATTACCTGTAACCTTTCCCCACATATAAAGCCGTGTTAGTGGTCGTGATAGTCCTTAATTTGTCTCATAAAGTCCTGCATTTAAAGATTAACATAACATCAGGCTGAAAAACAGTGTTTCTCTGCCCTCTCTGGTTTCCGGTCTGTAGTACCTCAGCCCATACCAAGCATCACTGATGGAAGTTGTGTGGTGTGCTCATCACCTAACAGTGATTTCTCAGTGTGCTGACACACCCTTGAGTACACTGCTACATCACTACTGCCAGTTAAGAGATGAAACCACCAGAGGTCATCACAAACAATAAATGTAACAATAAAAAATATAATCTAATTGGCTTCTTTAGAGTGCTGAATTATTGAACGTTATCTATGAGATGCTTTTTTGGTCTTAAGACTCTACATCAGGGCCCCAGGAAGTGCACCAGGCTTTGAAGCCAATTTTCCCAGTGGCAAAACAGTGTAATTACATCATCACGTGACACCCTGAGGCCCAAAAAGACTTTTCCCATTGCCTTACATGGCAGTGGATGCACTTTTTGAGCATCACAACCACTGTGAAATGACTCGTCTCACTTTGAGGATTTAACCCATTTGGTTGAATAACATTGGTGCAGCTGTGGCTTAGAGGTAGAGCTGGTTGTCTACTAATCGAAAGATTGGCAGTTTGATCCCCGGCTCCTCCAGTCCACATTCTAAAGTATCCTTGGGTAAGATACTGAACCCCAGTTGCTCCCAGTGGCTGTTTCACTGGTGTTTGAATAGTTAGCTGAGTAGCAGGTTGCACCTTGTATAGTAACCTTAGCCACCAGTGTGTGACTGTGTGCGTGAATGGGTGAATGTGACATGTAGTATAAAAGCACTTTGAGTGGTCAAAAGACTAGAAAAGCACTATACAAGTGCAGTCCATTTACCATTTGGAAAGTCTAGAAGAGCCCCAGGATTGAATCATTTTATAACCATTCAAGTTAATGGAATGCTTAACCAGAAGTAGCTGCCTTGGCATGCAACAGTCGACCCCACAGTGCAGATGCAGAGCCAAATATCTGGGTGGCTTTATACACAGCAGTTGAACATTTTTGGCTTCATGCACCACTGAGCAACTTTAAAAAAAAAAATGGGGCCCAGTCTCTGACGCTGTATCCAGTTCTCTTTATACATCCATGCTCGATATACACAATTGTTTTTAAGTTTTAACACATTTAAAAACACATTATGTGTTATGTCTTAAGTAATTTATCCTAAAAGCATCGCTAACAGCTGTCAGCATAATCTCTAAAATGAAAATACTCAACTAAGTATCGATATTTCAAAAATGTAGTCAAGATCATGGGAAAATCTGAATATCTGTCTGTGCCTTCATATGTCTCTACATGTCCCTGAAGGGAAATTTGTCTCTCACAGCCAGGGGAGACTTAAATCATAAGAAACATAAAACATAATAAATCACACAAAAAACACACCAGCTACTGTGTATGTGTCTTTTTTAATTTGACATCATGAGCTTATACGTATGTCACTGCCTGCTCTGTCGTCTAATTCTGTTAATGTGTCTCCTCTTCTTCAGATCAGCGTGTGGGCACCTGTTTCTCCGCCCTGGCAAACGGCCGCTGTGCTGCGGAGCAGAGCGGTCAGTACACCAAGATGCAGTGTTGCTGTGACTCAGGACGCTGCTGGGCTTTGGGACAGATCCCTGAGATGTGCCCTGTCAGGGGGTCTGGTGAGTACAAAACAAGAAAACGACACAGAAAACAGAGAGAATACAAGTTTCATATGTGAGCTGATCCTCACACAAAGTGATGGATATGAGTTTGAAATCAGAGCAGAGCATTCATCACCTTCTTCCTCCGCTGACAAAAACTGGCAGTGTCCACAATAGATTGTCGGTGACTTGGCACGAGCGCAGGTGGCAAATAAAGCCATGACAGCATCAGCGTTACACGAGCCAAATTAGTTTAACGAGACCAAACGAGACAAGAGCGCTTTGAGCTTGTGACAGAGAGGGAAGCGCATCCACTCAAACTGATGAGCATGATGTCATGAGCACAAACTAAACAGATGAAGATGGAAAAGATTTGTGCGAAGATAATGACCCATCATCTCCCCAGTCAAGCTGGAATTCAGAAAACTCTTCCTCTGCGTGAGAGCGTGTGATCCAAAACTGATCTGTTACAGAATGTTCTGCTACTTTCACCGGCACCACCAAAATAAGATGTGTGTGTTTGATTTATTGTGACCATCAAACTAAGTGAGGGACATACAGACATAAAGTACTGTGCTTGTTAACTGACCAAACAAAGGCATACTGTATACAGCCTGCATGCACAAATACATGCCTACTGATATTATTCATACATACAAACATAGACTTGAAGAATACACTAGCCTTACGGTACTGTAACTTCAGCACAGAGTAGAGTGGATCATTATGCATGCACATTTTTCTTGTCTGATTTGTTCGGGCTTTGCTCCAGTCAAAGCATATCTGAAATCAGTAAAACTCTTACAGTTAAATTGTCAATTTTATAACAAACTTCAACAAAGGGTGCCAAAATTAATCGCATGGTGCTACGGCCTTTGGGAATTCTGCGATTCCAGGAAACATTGAGCACATTTCAAACATACACTGTTGGATTTTGAGTGATCCAAAGTGCTTATGATTCTGAATTACTTTAATAATCCACATAAACTGTTGAAAAACCTAATCTTTCTTGGCACGACTTGAGAGCTTATGAATATGTTCTCCCTCAGCTTCATCGGGCTGGAAACAAATGAAACATAACCATCAGTAATTTGCATCCACTGACTTGTTCCCTGTGATCTGTTTCCCGTGCAGACGAGTTCAGGCGTCTGTGTATCGTGGGTGTCCCGCAAGGACTCCCTCATGTCTACCCCAACGGACACTTCCCTGGCAGCAACGGCAACGGGTTCCACTATGGGTTCAAGTTTCCCAGCGTACCTAACGGTAATGGTAACGGAGGCATTGGTGGAAATGGTGGCGCAGGAGGCTTTGGAGGGAATGGCGGGAGCTTTGGAGGTAATGGAGGAAGCTTTGGGGGCAATGGAGGAGGACTTCCGAACCACCAACAAATAGGTGAGCCTTAATGACACTACATAAAATTTGGATAAATTGTACCTCTATGTTTTTGTGTCTGTGCTGATTTGTTGATGTGTCTGTTGTGTATTCTCAGGCACAGTTTCTGTCAACGACACCATCGACGTGTGCAAACATTTCACCAACCTCTGTCTGAATGGACGCTGCATTCCCACACCGACGAGCTACCGCTGCGAGTGCAACATGGGCTACAGACAGGATGTTCGTGGGGAGTGTATCGGTAAGAAACACGCTCTCACACACTGTAGACACTAAAAATGCACATGTAATGTTAGTCAGTCAGTTCTCAGTAACCTCCCTGAGTCATAGAGGCAGACTGAGTGACTGTGTGACAGTGCCACAGTTAATTGCATGCACTGCACTGCACTGCCATCTTCTGCCAATCTGAGGAACTTAACACAAAAATAGGTTGATGCTTGATCTTTTTTTTTGTTACATCCATTCACTCTGACAGTCAGGATGGGTCATATTTTGTGTGTGCTTTACTTTTTTCTCCTCAGATGTGGATGAGTGTGTGAGTAATCCGTGTATCAATGGAGACTGTGTCAACATACCTGGTGGGTACCACTGCAAGTGCCATGAGGGCTACCAGGGAACCCCGACCAAACAGGCCTGCAATGGTATGTCTGGTGTCGGTGCCATCAAACTATAATACTGTTATAATTCCCCAATGTGTTTATTTCATATAGCTTTTTCATGTATCAGTGAAGTAGTTAGAACACATAAACCTGGAGCTTTGGTGCATAGTTTCGTATGACTGCTGGATAAAATACAATAAACTAACCAGACACATCCATCTTCCCTCATCCTCCTCTCCTCAGATATTGATGAATGTATTGTGAATGGAGTGATGTGTCGCAACGGACGCTGTGTCAACACAGAGGGAAGCTTCCAGTGTATCTGCAACGCTGGCTTCGAGCTCACTCCTGATGGAAAGAACTGCATCGGTACGGAGCCAACACAAAAACTTCTCATGAACTTTCACCTTTATAAACTTTACCTGAACTCTCTTCTCGTTTCATTCCAGATCACGACGAGTGCGCCACCACCAACATGTGTCTCAACGGCATGTGTATCAACGAGGACGGCAGCTTCAAGTGTATCTGCAAGCCTGGCTTTGCTTTAGCACCTAACGGACGCTACTGCACTGGTACGACTGATTTATAAAACATAGACATCAAGTCGTGGGCCAAACAGACTGCTACGCTGACAGATTTGGTGTTATTTGAAATCCTGCAGATCCATTTTTGAAACGATTTGTGCACCGTTTTGTTTTAGAAGTCCAACATTTTTTAAACATCCAGAAAGTCCAGAAATAGATGAATAGTTGAATGAATTTACGAGTCTCTGTTGAGTAGGAAGCATCAAGCATAGCTGCAGTCACACCATAACACAGACGGCACAGGTGCATATTCCCAAATACAGCACATATCAGTCTAGAAAATGCTCACTCCCCATGACCAGATGCCTCGTCAAGCTCTCTGTGATTTTCTTTTCCATAATTGTACGTGACATGTTCATATATTTTTAAGAATTTAAAAATAATCAAGCAAGGGGAAATGGAGATGGACCCAAAGAGACAAATTTTATTCCCTTTCTGTTCTTTTCTTCTGCTTTAATCCTGTGAAAACAAAAAACTTCCAACATTCTTCTTGAATATGCTAATTTAAAAAGCCCAATCTATACGCACCTTAGCTCATAAACTGGAGCCGCCATGTGACGTATACATTCTGTGCCCTCTCCTCATCAGACATCGATGAGTGTCAGACTCCTGGCATTTGTATGAACGGCCGCTGCATCAACTCTGAGGGCTCCTTCCGCTGTGAGTGCCCTCCAGGCCTGGCTATTGATGTAGATGGGAGAGTGTGTGTGGACACTCACATGAGGACCACCTGCTACGGCGCCATAAAGATGGGCACATGCTCACGACCGTTCCCTGGTGCAGTGACCAAGTCTGAGTGTTGCTGTGCCAATCCTGAACATGGCTTTGGAGAGCCTTGTCACCCCTGCCCCTCCAGGAACTCAGGTAAATTTGCTTTATAGTGTTTCAGCTCTTAGAAATATTGGATCCTTTTGTTAAAGTTACAAAAAAGGAAAATAAAAATGAATATCTGGCTCATCTAATGTGCTTTTTTTCTCATCATGCAGCTGAGTTCCAGGCTGTGTGCAGCAGTGGGATTGGCATCACAGCTGATGGCAGAGGTGAGTGTGTTGTTAAGGAATGTTCTGATAAGAAACACTCATATCCATATATATCTAAATAACACCTGTCTTCTCCTAGACATCAATGAGTGTGCCCTGGACCCAGACATCTGTCACAACGGCATCTGTGAGAACTTGAGAGGAAGTTACCGCTGCATCTGTAACATCGGTTACGAGTCTGACACCAGTGGCAAAAACTGTGTTGGTGAGTCAGAGTGAAGTGCATTGTCTCCATGTTTGTGATGAGATGAAACGGTACATCCCCAGCTAGCAAAGTTAGCCATGTTGACTGACTGTGTACCTCTCTGTTGATAGTGACAACATGTTATAAAGGTAATGACACAGTGTCACAAGCAGAGAAGAGTCTATAAATTCTGCGCCAGTATCTTTATAAAGGTCGCTAACACTAGCCACCACAAGCTAAAAGAGTCAAAGCACACCAAGCAAGGCTGTTGCAACAGAATTAAAAATGTGTTTGTCATATTTCTTATTAATTCAACTTTGGTTGTGAAAGAATGCAGCGCGGGACCAAGCACATTCGGCTCCCCAGGCAAAACAAAGCTAAGAGAAAACAAACAATGAAAGAACAGGGTGTGTGTAAATTTGCTAATTTAATGTTCTTCTTTTTTCTTCCTTTTATTGTACTGCGCTCCAGATGGCTTTCCCAATTTCATTTTCTGTTATTCTGATGCTCTCCACAAACACATCATGTTAGATTTCTTTTTTTAGATATCAAAGAAAAACAAAAACAACACTTGACTCAGACAGCTCACGTTTTTAATGTTTATGTCAACAGCAGAACATAGTTAGAGTTTGGCATCTAGACTCCGGCCTCATCGCTCCCCGCAGATATGTTTACATGAGATATTGGGGAGTGATGATTAATTATTCCCCACCTGGCAGGAGCCTGCAGGTGGGTGCTGGGGTGGAGCAGCAGCAGTACTGATGCAGGGCAGCAGTGGCATAGAAAGAGCTGGGAAGATTTGCAGTGACGTATGGCGTGTTAATGAATCAGTGCAGCTTGAGTTGACTGTCTGAACTCACTCGCAGGCGTCGCTCCATCTTTGGCAGTTGCCTAAATCACCTACAGGAAGATACGCCACAGGGAGAATGTGTGACTTCTTCTGTCAAAACTTACATAGTGTTGCTTTAAAGGTCCAGTGTGAAGGATTTAGGGTAATATGATATTCAAAACAATATTTTTATTAGTTTATAATCACCTGAAACAAAGAATTGTTGTGTTTCAGTTACCTGAATTTAGAATTTCTACATACAGAGCAGGTCATCTTCCACAGAGTCCGCCATGTTCTTCTACAGTAGCCCAAAATGGACAAACAATGGCAATGGCTCTAGATAGGACCATTCACACCGTAGCTTTCCTACATGCTTGGCACACAGGAGACATTTCAGTTGGTTGAAATCTGCAACCTCACTGCTAGATGCCAATAAATCCGACACACTGGACCTTTATAGGACGATACTGCTGGTTTGCAAGATATCAACGCCTAATTAGAAGTGTCATCAATCTTATATACTGTTCTTTATTTTCTAACCGTTGACCACTGATCTCTCTGACCTCCCTGCAGACATCAATGAGTGTCTGGTGAACCGTCTGCTCTGTGACAACGGCCTGTGCAGAAACACTCCCGGCTCTTACACCTGCTCCTGTCCTAAAGGATATGTCTTCAGACCTGACTCAGAGACCTGCGAAGGTGAGCACTCACACTCACACACACACACTTTTCCTCTGAAAAACAAATACACCCAAGTGTTTGTGCTGCTTCACATCCACATGTGTTATGTCGTTCTTTTACCAACAATCAAGGTCATTATGAGGTGACATTATTACCAGATGTGTTGCATTCAGTTTCCAGTAAACATGTGGCTCATGGAAAGAAGACACACACATTGCGTGTGTAGCTGCCAAATTGTGATGATGATCCAGTTGAATCCACCTCTCAGCCTTGACCTCAGGTGTGTTTTTGCACATGTTTCAGATATCGATGAATGTGAGTCCAGCCCGTGCATCAATGGAGTGTGTCGCAACGTGGCCGGGTCCTTCAACTGCGAGTGCACCCACGGCAGCAAGCTGGACTCCACCAACACCATCTGCGTGGGTAAGACATCCATCCTCCCCAAATGCCTGAGCAAATTAGAGCGGCACCGCAGGGTCTTAGAGAATGCTTGTGCGAGATAACGATTACAGGCCGAGACACGAGTGTCAACGGGAAATAATTGGTGCAGGAGTCTTTTTGTCTAATCATCCTAATCGAGGTTTACTCTCCGCCTTTGTAAACAAACACTGAGGTGGTTCAGGTTTCCAGGAGCCATCCAGAGACATTATCATCCTCAGATGTTGGGCAAAATGGCACGCATGCATGATTTATTAGATAAATACTTGCATGCATGGCCTTGGTTCACATGGAGATTGCTTTACTTCTTAGAGATCCGCCTCAGATTCAAAATGACATGTGGTATGTAAGACTCTCGGCTGAGGTTAAATATTCCACTTGTTTGGAGCTTTGTTACTTTTGGGAAATCATTCTGAAAAAGCTACATGCTAATACAGAATACAGATGTTATTGTAACTGGAAGGGAGAATGAGTCATTAAATAAATACTCATACATATTGCATGAGCTGGCTCCGTCAGAGGTCAACAAAATTCCTCTGGTTTGGTTGAGCTCTGTTTTATGTTTTAGAGCCCATCACTCCGCGGGGGGATGAGAGGGAAAGCAAATTGTGGTTTTGTGTTCGGGTGGCCTCGTGGTTTTGGAGAAAAGGTGTCACTGTTATGACTGTACACTTTCTCAGTTCATTAGGAATGGAATAGCATAGGATTAAATGTAATGATGCATGGGGTTTACTCAGCTCAGCGTGTAGCCAGAGACACAAGTTTTATGGCAGGGAGGAAAGTTGAAGGTGACAGTTTGATTGTTTTTGTGGTGTAGTTTGTTGCCATAGTTAAAGGTACCCTGCAGAGATTTTGACATCTTGACCACTAGTGGTGCTCTGGAGTAATGTTTCTATGAGCAGGTAACTATATTAAAGGAAAATATTATAAAAAATTGTCTTAGCAAATGTTTCATGGTGAAGGAACTGCACTCAACACGTTTGTGAGTCCTGACAGATGCACACAGTTAACACTGAATGTTAAGGGAACCCCACAAGGTATCTATGATCAAATCTCTGTTGTAACTTTGACTCCACAGACAGTATGAAGAGTACGTGCTGGCTGACAATACAAGAAAACCGCTGCGAGGTCAACATCAACGGAGCCACACTGAAGTCTGAGTGCTGCTCCACACTGGGAGCCGCCTGGGGCAGCCCCTGTGAACCCTGCGAGATCGGTCAGTTCGCACACATGGTTTCTTGCCAGTGTTTGTAATATTGACCATTTTTATGCTGAAACTTTACAAGGTTTCAGCACAGATGGATTACTGAATGGGCCTAACGGGCACAGGCACAGGGGCCCAAAGTGTCAGGGCTCCCCCAGTACCTGCAAAATCTCCCTCAAATTAAGACGTACTGACAAGGAAGAGATGCAAAAAGACCACATAGAGACAAGAAATGACAATAAAAGAGACAAAATGACCTCAAAGAGACACAATGTGACTATAAAGAGACACAAAAAACTACAAGGATACACAGTGTGACCTCAGAGAGACACAAAAGACCACAAAAGGATGCAAAGGCAAAGAGAATAACAACAAAAATGGGCGAAACAACCACAAAGTGACAAGAAATGACAAAGAAAGACACAAAATGACCTCAAAGAGACACATCGCGACTATAAAGAGACACAAAAAACTATAAGGATACACAGTGTGACCCCAGGGACACACAAAACAAACATAACAAGACACAAAATGATCTGAAGGAACTCATATCAACTCCAAAAAGACACAAAACAACAGAAAAAGAGGCAAAATCACCACAAAGTTTGTGTGTCTTGCTCCTGTGTGGGAGATCTGGTGGGGTCTTCTGCATATCTGTGCCCAGGGGCCCATTGTCTCACAATCCGCTCATGGGTTTCAGCAGTCCACCATGAGGTCTTACATTTGTGGAAAAGCCTCTGAAACTGCATTTACCACCGAGGAGTGGATTTACTTAAAGAACTACTTAACACTTGCTCCATATTATTATAAGTACATCATTAATACACAATAAAATAACAAAGGACCAAATTTTACACATGTTTTAACTGCTTTAGTCAAGAATAAATTATTATCATATTGTGGATACCGTAACTGGACCAACAAATGAAATTGTACAAATATAAATTAACAATATTCCCCAACATTTGGCAAACCATCGTATGCATACGTGCTCTACATACAGTGTTCATACATAAAATGTCTTTATCACATCTCTCAATCTTCTCCTGTCCCTGCAGACACCGCCTGCTCTCGAGGGTTTGCTCGCATGAAGGGCGTCATCTGTGAAGGTAAGAACATTTGATGACTTAATGAACAGTGACAAACCCGCAGTGCTCCTTCATCCAACATCAGCGCCCATGAAATCATCTTTTCGTCCTTGTAATGTGCATTAATGTCCTCCCTGTAGATTTCTTTATAAAGAGAAAAAAGTGTTCAGGTTGGTGTGTGTTTCACCTTGTAATCTCTGTTCTTAAAATGTCCCGCTCCCTGCAGACATTAATGAGTGCGAGGTGTTCCCGGGAGTGTGCACAAATGGCCGCTGTGTGAACACCCAGGGCTCGTTCCGGTGCGAGTGTGCCGAGGGTCTCACCTTGGACAGCACTGGACGCACGTGTGTGGGTAAGAGAGATCAGACATCACATGCAACGAATATCGCTATCATGTCACGAGGACAAAACTTAGAAACAGAGGTGACTTTCTTTTTTATCTTGTAACCAACTTTTTAGATACACGTAGTGAGCAGTGCTACATGAAGTGGCACGAGGATGAGTGTGGCGAGCCGCTGCCAGGGAGATACCGTGTGGACATGTGCTGTTGTTCAGTGGGTGCTGCCTGGGGTGTTGACTGTGAGGAGTGTCCCAAACCAACCTCACCTGAGTATAGAGCCATCTGTCCCAGAGGGCCCGGCTTTGCCAACAGGGGAGAAATTCTGACCGGCAGGCCGTTCTACAAAGGTACTGAGATTTTTTTAGTTCTGCTTTGTGGCACCTTGAGTGTGTGCGTTTGTTGGTAGAACCCTGAATCACCAAAGTGACCACATGAGATGGCCGGGGGGGTGAATCTACAGTATGTTCCCAAAATATTGATCCAGTAAATCGTATTATTTTGCTCATTATTTTGAGTTTTTTTCTGAAGTGTAGGCCTTTTTAACTGTATTTCTTTCTCCATAGATGTAAACGAGTGTAAGGTGTTCCAGGGCCTGTGCACTCATGGAACATGCCGGAACACCATCGGCAGTTTCAAGTGTCGCTGCAACAGCGGCTTTGCTCTGAACGCAGAGGAGAGGAACTGCACAGGTACGAGAGAGAGGGAGTCAGATTAATTCAGTTGAAATGAAACTTTTTTCTCACATTCGTTAAGCAGTTAGTGAGCGTTCCATTTTAATGTTCCTTGTGTTTCAGACATTGACGAGTGCCGCATCTCCCCTGACCTGTGTGGTCATGGTGCATGTGTCAACACACCTGGCAGTTTCGAGTGTGAATGTTTCGAGGGCTACGAGAGCGGCTTCATGATGATGAAGAACTGCATGGGTGAGTTGGAACTCAAGTCACACACATAATTATACAGCTTCAGATGAAATGTACGCCTTCATCCCTCTCTTCCCTCTCTTCCTCTCTGCTGACAGACATCGATGAGTGTGAGAGAAACCCCCTTTTGTGTCGCGGAGGAACCTGCCTGAACACAGAAGGGAGTTATGAGTGTGAATGTCCCACTGGACACTCGCTCAGCAACGATGGATCTGCCTGTGAAGGTGGATGATACATCACGCAGCACACACACTCACATGCATTCGCACACAGGCTCACTTGGCATCATATATCACACCCAGCACATCCAAATGTATTTGAAAAGCTTGTGCACTTAAAAGTGTCAGTCAAGTCGTAAAAACTCGTTTCACACAGTAAAAGTGGATATTTTAGCTTCTTTAAACTAGTTTTATGATTATTATCATTCATTTTCCTGAGGTACAATACAATATATTCGACTGCACACAGTAACACCTTATTCTCTAACGCTTTGCTTATCCTGTCAGATGTGAATGAGTGCCAGCTGAGTGACAACTTGTGCAAGAATGGCCAGTGTGTCAACATGCCGGGAACCTACCAGTGCTCCTGTGACACCGGTTACCAGGCCACACCAGACCGACAGGGCTGCGTTGGTGAGTGGGACAAACTCTATCTTAAAAATCTACACCAGTGTTGAATAGTTTGCACCCACTTTTCCTTTTCATGCCTTAACTATGACTGTGACCTTTCTTTGCAGATATCGATGAATGCACCATTATGAACGGAGGCTGTGAAACACACTGCACCAACTCAGAGGGAAGCTATGAGTGTAGCTGTAGTGAGGGCTACGCTCTGATGCCTGACCTCAGGACCTGCGCAGGTGATTAAAACACAGGATTTGTTCTATATATTCCCAAAACGAAAAGTGCAACACTGTCATAATGTGTTTCCTTCATGTCCCGTGTTGCCTCATATAGCACGTTAAAATGTATTTTTGCTGTTTCTATTAGATATCGATGAGTGTGAGGAGACTCCAGACATCTGTGACGGAGGCCAGTGCACCAACATTCCCGGGGAATACCGCTGTCTGTGTTACGACGGCTTCATGGCCTCTATGGACATGAGGACGTGTATCGGTAAGTAGAAAAACTGACTGTGACTTGGGAAATCTTTCAATCTCTTACCTGTAACTTTTTCTGTCTGCCACATTAATTTACTCTGTCTCTCTGACCTGATCTTTGGGACGTCCTCTGTCAGTCTCATTTTCTGTCACTCCTCTCTCCAGTGGTCAGAACGTTCACTTAATATCTGTGTCTGTCTGTCCCTGTCTGCCCCAGATGTGAACGAGTGTGACTTAAACCCAAACATCTGTCTCCACGGCGACTGTGAGAACACCAAAGGCTCCTTCATCTGCCACTGTCAGCTGGGATACTTTGTCAAGAAGGGATCCACGGGCTGCACAGGTACACACACACACACACACGGACACACACGGACACAAATATCAGGGCCTGAGCGGTCGCTGAGAGGTCTGGGCCACCGTGTGTCCATATCTGAGTCAACTGTTGAGACAGTTCACCCATGCATACAGTAGTTCTCAGAAAGCAACATTTTTTTGCGTGTCATTAATAATGAAACGTTTCACTCACTTCAAAAAACCGAAGATGCAAAAAACTTTATATTCTTTTTATGTTGTTTTGTTTCATCTTCAAAGGGAAAAAGCTGCGTGATCCTGCCTGTTTATTGGCTAATTAATCTCTATGTCTCTCCAGATGTTGATGAGTGTGAGATCGGGGCTCATAACTGCGACATGCACGCTGCCTGCATCAACGTGCCTGGAAGCTTTAAATGTCGCTGTCGTGATGGCTGGGTGGGAGACGGTATCAAGTGTGTGGGTGAGTGTGTTTTCAGAGTATCTTCTGTGATGTGATTTATAGACCAGGTTGTAAAATCAGTTTTTAAGACAAACTGAAGGACCAAAATCGGTTGTTTTGATTTAGTTCTTACACTTTTCTCTCTCTTCCTGCAGATCAGGACGAGTGCTCTGCAGAAGACCACAACTGCAACCCCAATGCAGACTGTGTCAACACACCGGGATCTTACAGGTGCACATGCAAGGAGGGCTTCAATGGAGACGGATTCTCCTGCTCCGGTGAGACCGCTGAAACTTTCTAAATAAATCCTGATTAAATTCCAGCAACTGTGTTTGTGCAGCGAGCTTCATGCACGGTGAGTTCATAACGCACTTGGCCGTTCTGTTTCAGACATGGATGAGTGTGCAGACAACGTGAACCTGTGCGAGAACGGCCAGTGTCTGAATGCTCCAGGTGGCTACCGCTGCGAGTGCGAGATGGGCTTCACTCCTACGGAAGACAGCAAGGCCTGTCAAGGTGCTGCACTCATTCTGTCACATTTTATTCTCTTTACGCTTCTTTTTTCATTCCGATAGTGAAACTAATATTTTCTTCTTCTTCCTCTCTGTCTCTGACTTTTGCCACAGACATTGATGAATGTAATTTCCAGAACATCTGCGTGTTTGGAACGTGCCAGAACCTTCCAGGGATGTTCCGCTGCGTGTGTGATGATGGTTACGAACTGGACCGCAGCGGCGGAAACTGCACCGGTTGGTTTTGCACTCCTGTAACTGTAGCTCTAAAATCACTTAGTTCAGACACAGAACAGACTCGAATAGCTTGGCTGGGTTTCCTTGATAATAATAGCCTTCATTAATGCATCCTGTTCCCATTCAAAAAAAAATACATCCAAGAAATGTGAAGACCAAAAGGTATGTCTGCCTCAGCCATCTGTTTATTCCCTTCACTTCCAAGGCTCTGCGCAGCTCACCTACAAATCACCCTGTGTTAGTTTGTGACATAAGCAGGATTTTAAATCATTAAAAGTGTTATATAACATATAAACTAATAGATTCATAAATTTCAGACAGGTCTTGTGTCTGTTTTTCTGAGCTTGTGTGTGTCGCTGTGTGCTGCAGACATCAACGAGTGTGCGGACCCTGTGAACTGCATCAACGGGCTGTGTGTGAACACTCCAGGGAGCTACCTGTGTAACTGCCCAGCTGACTTTGAGCTCAACCCCACCGGAGTGGGCTGCGTGGGTGAGTCTCAGTGGTTTTTAATGTGTGTGTAATTTGATGTATCCAAGACAAGGAAAAAAGTTCAGATGATATAAAGTAAATGCAAAAAGACACACAGAAATTAAGTGTAGCATTGAGCAGGTCATTTTTCCAGTTGTGAAATTTAAAATTGTGTCCTTTGAGTATAGCACCCTCTTTAACATTTTAATTAAATAGAGACTAAATTCATTATATATGTTCATAATCAGGTCAGTGGTGCTATCTTCATGACCTTTTGAATTTTTTAAGTATGACAGCACGGTGACAAGACACTGCATCCCTTCAAAATTGCACCAGCGATGACAGATGACAAATACTTTAGACTTAATTCCATTCATGCTCATCCATCATCCTGTTTCATTAAAGCACGCCATGTATCGATAAGTGAAAATGTGTCTCTCTCAGATACCCGTGTTGGCAACTGCTTCCTGGAAATCCTCGCACGTGGTGATGGAGGAATCTCCTGCAGCGCGGAGATCGGCGTGGGCGTGACCCGAGCTTCCTGTTGCTGCTCCCTGGGAGGAGCCTGGGGAAACCCCTGTGAACTGTGCCCCGCCGCCAACTCTAGTATGTTACAAGGGACCCTGACTGATAAATATATTTAGTATTTCCAGCGAAATGCACAATGTAGGACTCAGATTTTTTACACTAACTCTCTGTCTTGTCTGTAGCGGAGTATAAGACTCTTTGTCCCGGAGGAGAGGGATTCAGACCCAACCCCATCACTGTTATCCTGGAAGGTAAACCATCCAGCTTTCTCTCTGTTTCACAGTCCTGTAATGTACCGCAGCTACGGTCGGTGTTGCAGCAAAGCACCATTTTAAAATGCAATTTAACATAAAATCAATACACGAGTGACATCTATGGATCTAACAAACTGACTTATCCCCTAGATATTGACGAGTGCCAGGAGCTGCCAGGTCTCTGCCAGGGAGGAAACTGTGTTAACACCTTTGGTAGTTTCCAGTGTGAGTGTCCAGCAGGCTACTATCTCAATGAGGAGACTCGCATCTGTGAAGGTAAGAAGTTGTTGTGTTTAACCTCGCATTTGTAATATGTAAATAATATATAAATGGAAACCTGACAGTCTGCTCTTACCTCATTTGTTTTATTACATGTCATGATATCTCTACGTGCAGATATTGACGAGTGCACAACCCACATTGGCATCTGTGGACCTGGTACCTGCTACAACACTCTGGGAAACTACACCTGTGTGTGTCCTCCTGAGTACATGCAAGTCAACGGAGGAAACAACTGCATGGGTGAGTGGGAGAGACCAAAAAAATATTTACTTTCATCATGTCCTATAAAAATAAACTTCCAAATTAACCACAGTTTCAAAGGCAAACATTTTCAAGTGCCAGCTGTCAGCTGTTGGATTCAAAGGACTGTTTTCCTTTGTCATGCAGACATGAGGAAGAGCGTGTGTTACCGTAACTTCAACGACACATGTGAGAACGAGCTGTCCTTCAACATGACTAAGAAGATGTGCTGCTGTGCCTACAACGTGGGAAAAGCCTGGAACAAGCCGTGTGAAGCCTGTCCAACTCCTGCAACCAGTGAGATTCAATTAATACACTTAAACATGCTCCGCAACAGCTGGTAGAACTTTCTGTGTCTCTGTGTTTTATTACTGTCACTGAGTGCCTGCTGTCTGGTCTGTTCCAGCTGAGTACCAGATACTGTGTGGTAACCAGGCTCCTGGCTTCATCATTGACATCCACACCGGCAAGCCAATCGGTAAGATCATCACAAGGTCGAAACTGACACAGTGCAGCATGAAAGTGATACTGGTACAGTTAGCATAGTAACATCTGTGGTGTTGTTTTGTGCAGATATTGATGAGTGCAGGGAGATCCCTGGTATCTGTGCCAACGGAGTGTGTATCAACCAGATCGGGAGCTTCCGCTGTGAATGTCCGATGGGCTTCAGCTACAACAACATACTGCTCATTTGTGAAGGTAAAACTCACATAACGTTTTCTTCTGGCTCACACTTCCTGTCTGTGTCTGTCGCAAGATAATGACACGATGGGCCTCATGCAGCAACATTGTCCAAAATGTCTCTTAAGTCAACTCCAGATGCATCAAACGTTCTCAGCCATCCAAATCTGCTCGTACCCAGGTGTGACGAATCCCACTTGGTCATATATTGGAGGCATGTGGCTGATGTTGTTATAAGCATAGGTGACACCCCCTAAACACTATATAAGGGCAGTTCAGTCAGGAGAGACTTGTTCTGAAAGAAAAGAATATTTATTTACATGTAAACATAAGTGAGAGATTTGAAATGTCTTTGGCGATTAGACCCCATTGTGATGTCATCTATTCAAGGAGGGTGGTAAAGACGTAGTAGATTAGTCTAGATGCTGGTGGGGGTAATAGTGGTGATGAGATGAGATGAAGAGGGAGCTGAGGATCTGGATGTAAGGAAGAGCTGACAGGAGCAGAGAAGAGAACGGATTGAAAGTTTGGCAGGAGCAACATGAATGAATGTTCCTTATTTGACTTTGGATTCATCACCCTTCTTAAATCACACCTTCTTGATGGGGTCTAATTGCCCATAGACTTTTTTTTTATTCTTATGTGCACATGTTAATAAATATTCTTTTACTATAAAAATGAGTCCCTCCTGGTTGAGTTCATGTTGAGCTTCATTTGTTGTGCAGGGTGCAAATACTCTTACAAAAGCCCAATAATTGGAGAGATGCCTCCAAAAAAAAAGGCTGTAAGACGAAGAAGAATTTCAACCATACTGTTAAATGTATGTAAACAAAGAAAATGTGATTTTCTAGAGTGTCAGTGCCAGCATTAGAGGAAAATCAAAAACTCAGCAATGGCAAAATATGTGTTATGCTGTAAATGCTGATCAATAGTATTTCTTAAGCCCACAATAATTATTAGAAATACTCTAAATCATACAGTAATCTAAATTTCATTATATAAATTATGTATTTTTTCTTGTGTTGGACAATCTGTGGGCTGTGAAAACAAGATGGGTTTTTTTCTTATCTTAGTAAGAGTATTCTCGACTACTTGTAAAATCGTTCTCTTACCTAGAGAAGAGCAAAAATAAGAAAACACTAATAATAATAATAATACATTTTATTTTAAAGGCACCTTTCAAAACACCCAAGGTCACCGTACAGAGCATAAAACTGATGAATCACAGAAATCTTGGGTACAAACAGAAATAAGAGGAAATTTATTTGTATATCACTTCATGCATGAGGCCCAAGGTGCCGTGGTGGCGTTACATAGATTTCCTGCTTTTTTCCTGCTCTTCTGTTTCCTGTATCTTGCTCTCTACCAACATAAATAAGCACACACATTTACACACTTCCCCACCTATCTCCTCTTTTGACCCTGCTGCTGAATCATTGCAGGCTTATCTGTCTTTTAAACAATATTGAGTATATACTTAGTGCTGGCACAAACACTTACCACCATTTCCACACTAAATCACGCAAACACGCCCATACAGCCACACACACATACACACACACAGACACACACACAAATACAGTTACACTCACTCACTGGCCAAGAGGCACTTTTACAAGCCGTCCACTCAGTGAAGTTAATGCTGCCTTTTCCCACATGAGTTATGCCCTTGTAAAGACAAGAGAGCACCTGCCCGGACCTTCAATCATCCGGAGCCTGCCAGCGACTGTCTGAACTGTACCGGAGCCAAAATGGAGCCATTGTGTTTTCTCTCCTGCTGCCCACAAGCTGACTGCCTACTCTGACCAGACAGTTATGGAGCCTGTGATTGATGTCCACTGTTTCTCTCTTTCTTCCCCCTGCGTAGATATTGATGAGTGTAACAGCGGGGACAACCTGTGCCAACGCAATGCCAACTGTATCAACATTCCAGGCAGCTACCGCTGCGAGTGCTCACCAGGCTTCAAACTGTCCCCCAGCGGGGCCTGTGTGGGTGAGTCCAGCCTGACTGACAGGCCTTACCGGGGTTTCCCATTGTAAAATAAAAAGGGGAGGGTGAACTGATTATGTTCATGATGTGTGAAGAATGTAAAACATTGACATTTTTTGTTGAGGGAGAATTATTGTAATTTGATAGTGGAGAATCTGCTGATGTATGTTAATGTACACAAGCCTCAGACTAAACGCAACTCTAGTTTACACCTGGTTCAATTTTACCTACAAATAACACGCATGTCTGAACAGTCAGAAAACAAAAAAAGAACACCAAAAAAAAAAGTTTATGCCAATGTGAGACCAGCTGGACATACTGACACAAAACATATTATAAAGAGAATACAGCACATACGTGGTGTTACACATAAAATGGAAGCATTAGGTTGGATTTGTGTGTGTAAAGTGCAATGAATAATGTTAGTGCTGCAGCAAATAGTTGATTAGTCGACCAACCGATTAAGCTAACCAACTGTTAAAGTCATTAATTGAAGAAAAGATGATTGATACCGTTTTTAAAATGTTAGAATAAGTTGCCTCTGTGTATTTCATATTGTAAATTTAATATCTTTTGATTTCAGATAAAGCAAGCTATTTGAAGACATCATTTTGTGCTCTGGGACATTTTATAGGCTGATTTAATAAATAACGTAATTGCTAGTTGCAGTCGTCAATAAGACATTAATATTTCTGTGTCTCTTTCAGACCGTAATGAGTGCCAGGAGATCCCTAATGTCTGCAGCCATGGAGAGTGCATCGACACGCAGGGAAGCTATCGCTGTCTCTGCCACAACGGCTTCAAGGCCACTGCTGACCAGACCATGTGCATGGGTGAGAAGCACAACATAACACTGTACTAACACACACAACACTGTGTTGCATGTAATCCTACAGTCCTTCCTGTCTAACCAAGCATTGTTCCTTCTGTGTATATTTTAGACATCGACGAGTGTGACAGACAGCCGTGTGGTAACGGGACCTGTAAAAACACGGTGGGATCCTACAACTGCCTCTGCTTCCCCGGCTTCGAGCTCACACACAACAACGACTGCATGGGTATGGATCATTTCCTGTTCTGCTCTACAAAGGTCCACAGCCTTTTAAAGGTCACGGTCGTCACTGTAAAATCAGACAAGTTGCTCTTACTTTAAAAAAGTCAAGGAAACTGATGGCCTTAAAAAAGGTTAAGTAAATAAATTAGCCTTAAGTTATCTTTCTAAAGTTCACATAACTGTAGCAAATGGTGAACCAGGTTAGAGTGGACTCAAACGCACGACTCTGGAGACAGTTCAGGTAAAATAACTAAGTCTTTACTGGTCTAAAGGTAGGTTCAGTACACAGGCGGTCTCTCTGTGGAGGCAGGCAATTCCAGTATTCTGGATGAGGCAGAGGCAGAGTAAATCAACAGGCTAAATCCCCCCCAAAAAACAAGAAAAGGACACAGGGAAACAAAAGGCTGGAATGCTAGACACACAAGGAGCTAAGACAGACTGGCCCTGAGAGAAAACAAGACACACACTCAATACTCTGGTGAGAAGGATAACGAGACACAGGCAAGGCTGATCAGGGTGGGACAGACAATCAGACACAGGTGAAGTCATTAAATGGGAGGGAAAACACACAAGGACAGGAAGTGAAGTGATCTGAAACGAGAGGAGATGTGAGTTTCAAAATAAAACAGGAAACAACATGAAAGAATGAAATAAAAAATAACATAACCTGAGAAGCTTGAGCTGTGACAATAAATGAAGACTATTAGTTAGATTAATTTATATTTTTCAAAAAAAATGGTTTCCTATATTTTTTACAGTGTACACACAGGTTAGGATGTGATTTTTAAATTCCAATAAAAACATGCTTCCCTTTTCTGCAACAGTGTTACATTCGGGCATGAAATAAAATTTAAGTCTGACTGTTTTGACTTTTTTGTGTAACAAAGACATTTAGTCTTCAGACAGTTTTTTCTCAGAGACACTAGATGCCAGGAAAAACATGAATTGTTCTGTTTCTGGTTGTGTTTGTCAATGGAAAACCAAAATCAGAGAAATGTTTAGAGTCCTAATCCTCTCAATTATTCACCTTACAGACATAGACGAGTGCAGCGCCCTCCAAGGCCAGGTGTGCAGGAACGGACAGTGTATCAATGGACTCGGTTCCTTCCAGTGTCTCTGCCATGAGGGTTATGAGAATACCCAAGATGGGAAAAACTGTGTCGGTATGTCAGTGATTGAATGTACAAGAAAACAGCATGGCAGCACAGTTTTTCTGACACACACAGATATAAACACACATTCTCTGATTTGTCTTTTTTCACAGATATCAATGAGTGTGTGAGTCTGCCCGGCACGTGCTCTCCAGGAACTTGTCAGAATCTGGATGGATCTTTCAGATGTATCTGCCCTCCTGGCTATGAGGTGCAGAATGATCAGTGTATAGGTAAGGCACACACTTCAGTACAGACTAAATGCTCCACACCCGCTCAAACCAGCAACCGAGGGCGACAGAGCCATCTGCTCTAACACACACTCATAAACACATCTTCTCACACCCCCGCTCTCCTTTACGGTCTCTTTCCAGATATCAACGAGTGTGAGGTGGAGCCCAACATCTGTCAGTTTGGCACCTGCACCAACACCCCTGGCAGCTTCCAGTGCACCTGCCAGTCAGGCTTCGTACTCTCTGACAACAAACGCCGCTGCTACGGTGAGAGAAACCTTTAGTTAGCAGCAGGCCACAGCAGACAGTGTTGATGATCTTGATTGAATGTGATAATCTGACATATCTTATCTCCCTTACCAAGACAGTGAAGGAGGTTTTTGTCTTTGTGTCTCACATGACTAACAAACTAATTACTGTCCTCCTTTTTTTCCTTATGGCAGACACCAGAGAAAGCTTCTGTTTCACCAAATTCGAAGCAGGAAAATGTTCCGTCCCCAAGGCTTTAAACACCACCAAGGCCAAGTGCTGCTGCAGCAAGATGCCAGGAGAGGGCTGGGGACTTCCCTGTGAGCTGTGCCCACGAGAGAGCGAGGGTGTGTAACACAGACACACACAGAGCTTTAATTAAGACATACACATGCACACAAAGACATTTGTAAAATAATGAAGGTGACCTTTTTTTCTTTTTGGTGCATCTCCAGCTGCTTTTGACACTCTGTGTCCCTTCGGTCATGGAGCCCTGCCTGGAAAGGGTGATGCTCGTGAAGGTGAGTGCTTCAAAGATCTACTGCCTTGACTTTAGTAACTAATTGTTGACGTTTTGCATATGTTTTAAAATATACTAATCTTCACTTGTTCTCTTTAGATATGAATGAGTGTCTGGATAACCCAGGAATCTGCCAGAACGGTATCTGCATTAACACAGATGGTTCGTTCCGTTGTGAATGTCCTTTCGGATACAATCTGGATTACACCGGAGTCAAATGCATTGGTGAGCTGCTTTCTGGGGTTTCTGTGAAGGCTGTAAAGTTAGGTTGATTCAAAACACACATTAAACACACATTAAACATGGCTTAATAGTGACAATGTCAAACTCAAGTACACAAATCAGCTTCACTCTCAACTCACAGCATTCACAGACAAAGCACTTGTCTTTATCTGGACACATTTTCCCCACAAATACAACATGCTAACGTTACTAGCACAAGTCGAGGACATTTTACATTGTATAAATTAGCCTAGCAGCTAGAGGACCTTTTCCCTGCTCATATGAAGCCAGGGACAACAGCAACATTTAACAAAGGTAACGTTACAAAATTTGGCTCCATTACAACTCACAAGGTTCACTGACAAAACAACTGTCTTATAATGAACATGTTTTCCAAATAAATATAACATGCTAACGTTATTAGCACAAGCCTATGGCATTTTATCATTGTATAAATTAGCCTAGCAACTAATGGAGATTTCCTCTGCTCATGTGAAGCCAGGATAAATCACACACAAGACTTAAAACGCTATTTTGTGGAGACTTTATTGTCTTATCTGTGAAATTAAAGTAAATAAAAGCTTCCTTTCCACCAAGGGAAATGGTTTCAGCTTGCGGTCTGTGTCACTGTGATGTGTACTTACGTATAAATCACACCTAAGCTTACCAGAAAATCTCAGGTTCAGGTGGGCAAGTCAAAAAGTGACAAATCAGAGCTCTGAGTAAACTATTAATAACTTACAGCAACATTGCGTTCTCAGTCACCTCTATAAGTTTTGAATGTAAAAAAACAAAATGACCTTTGGTACAGGCCTACACTGGAATGACAGAAGAGGGACAGAGGTTTTTAGTATTTACCATGAAACAGTCGCAATTGAGCAGACAATGAAAAATCAATGGCTGCAGCATTTCTTCTTAGGAACTTTATATCACCCAGGTCTATGTTTTACCACCAGGAGCACCAGAGTTCAGCTTTTCCTGCATTACAGCATCATCTATTTTTGGACTAACATTTAAGCTGCTAATGAGTGCTTTTAAAGTCTCAGGTACAGTATAAATGTTTCATTGGTTTTAATTGCCTCCTCTATCTCTCCTCTCTGTCCTCCCCAGACGCTGATGAGTGCTCTATAGGAAACCCATGTGGAAATGGAACCTGCACCAATGTGGTGGGAGGTTTCGAGTGTTCGTGCCAAGAGGGCTTTGAACCCGGACCCATGATGACCTGCGAAGGTCAGTCAGTCATGCAGTAACGCTCACACTCCCACAGACACTCTTATTTTAAAATGTAAATTAAACGAACCTGTCATTTTTTCCAGACATCAACGAGTGCTCCCAGAATCCTCTGCTGTGTGCCTTCCGCTGTGTGAACACCTTTGGCTCGTATGAGTGTATGTGTCCTGCTGGCTACGTGCTGCGAGATGACCAGCGCATGTGCAGAGGTGAGAGATTTTTTGTCTTTTTCTCTGTGCAGTTCTCATTCTTTGACACCACTGAAACAGAATAAAGATACTTATTGGCCACCCCTCATTGTCCCTCACCAGACCAAGACGAGTGCTCCGAGGGTCTTGATGACTGTGACTCCAAGGGTATGACCTGTAAGAATCTGATCGGTACCTTCATGTGTATCTGCCCACCTGGCATGCAGCGCAGACCCGATGGAGAGGGATGCATGGGTGAGTAAAAACATTTAAGCTAATGTGAGAGGATCTCATCAGTCTTCGCCCAATATCTGCTGTTGATTCTGGATGTATCTGCCTCTTCGTCTCTTCATCCTCCCGTCCTTTTGCTCTCTACAGACCTGAACGAGTGTCGCGCCAAGCCTGGCATCTGTAAGAACGGACGCTGCGTAAACACAGTGGGAAGCTATCGCTGCGAGTGCAACGACGGCTTTGAGCCCAGCTCCACGGGAACTGAATGTATTGGTAAGATCACTAAAGCTGTTTTTTAAATTCAGATGAAGTTTTGTCAACCACAAGCCCCTTTATTCTTCCAAATCTAACCTCAAACACTCCTCTTACCCCGTCATCCTTTCCCTCAGACAACCGAAAGGGCTACTGTTACACAGAGGTTCTGCAGACAATGTGCCAGCAGACATCCACCAACAGGAATAGTGTGACTAAGTCTGAGTGCTGCTGCAACACAGGCCGAGGCTGGGGGTCACAGTGTGAGCTCTGCCCACTGCCTGGCACTGTACAATACAAGAAGATGTGCCCACTTGGACCTGGCTACACCACAGACGGTAGAGGTGAGTCGCACAGTAATACCACTGATTGATTTTATGACGTAGCATAACAAACAAAACCTCCATTTTATTTCTCTTTTTAATTTGACTTTAATTTAATTTACTCACCACAATCTTTTAAAGTAGCCACAATGACGAAATTTGTATCATTAAAATCGAAATTTGAGAAGGAAACCAGGCAGGTTGAGCTTTCTGTTGAATTGTTTGGCAGCATGGGTCTGATCCAGATCTAAAATGTCTCCCTACTTCCAGACATCAACGAGTGCCAGGTGATGCCAGATTTGTGCCGGAATGGTCAGTGCATCAACACCATCGGATCCTTCCGCTGTCACTGTAATGTGGGCTACAAAACCGACTACACTGCAACCTCCTGCATCGGTATGGTTGATCTCTGTCCTGCTGATACTCTCTCAGTATTCTCAATATTTAATACAATACTCAATACAGGTGTCAGTCCACAGCATCCCTGTCTGTAGTCCTAATTTTCTCTGTCTGCATATTTCAGATATGGATGAGTGCGCTCTGTCTCCAAAGCCCTGCAACTTCCTGTGCAAGAACACAGAGGGCAGCTACCTCTGTTCCTGCCCCAGAGGATACAGCCTACAGCCAGATGGAAAGACTTGCAAAGGTAGGTGGACTCTTGATTTGTTTGCTTGTGGGTTATTTCATAGCTCCATAAAACAATAAATGCCATTTCAAGTAGAAATAGACAACTTTTTTCTTTAACTTATTAATATGAAGTAAATGTTTATTGCGCAATTTAACGGCCATAGGTGGTTGGCTGGTTCCCTGTAAGGCTAGCTTTTGCAATGCAATTTGTCTGCCAATGGGTACGATCTTGCGGAAAAATTAACTCTCGATTTACAGCACCCAAAACAGGAAGAGGCTAGCACTTTTGTTCTCCCCAGTAGCCGGTGTACCCCAAGGCTCTGTGCTTGGACCTCTCCTGTTTATCATCTACCTCCTCCCTCTTGGCAGTATTTTCCACAAATATAACATTCAATTTCATTGCTACATGGATCATACCCAGCTCTACCTGTCCACCGAAAAACAGAAAACAGAAAGTGATCCAGCTTTGTAACAGTGGGGAATTACACAGACTATAATACCACTTTGAAATGCTGGGGGGATGAATCTTTCGATAGTGCACCATATTAAAAATATGGATACCCTCAAGTGTTAGAAGGGAAATATTGCCGTCATATTATTTCTTTAAACAAGCTGCACAATTTTGAGGCTTCATTCGTTGCTGTAATTTGGTTTTGAAAGACGTTAAGTGCTTTCTTTCTTTCCCTCTAAGATCTGGATGAATGTTCAACCAAGCAGCATAACTGCCAGTTCCTCTGCGTCAACACCATCGGAGGTTTCACCTGCAAGTGTCCTCCGGGCTTCACACAGCACCAGACTGCATGCATCGGTGAGTACGAAACAGGAGAATATCAGCATTACCCTCTGAAAGAGTTTAGCCTTAAGGAAGAACAATAAAATAAAATAAAAAAGCATCTTTAATTCAAATAAAATCTGTGTTTCCTTTGTTTGCAGACAACAACGAGTGCTCCGCTCAGAGCAGTGCGTGTGGTTCCCGGGCCTCTTGTGTTAACACGCCTGGTAGCTTCAACTGTGAATGCTCTAAAGGTTTCTCTTTGGACAGCACGGGCATTGAGTGTGAAGGTGAGCAGACAGAAATGTTTATGATGAGTCAAACACAGGGTCGTTTTCAATTAAAAAATCATGGGAATATGGAAAGGCAATTTTAACATACAACATTACAAGAGGCAAAAAAACACATCCATAGATCCAAGAGAATTGCAAATGAAAACAACATGGAGCGGGTTCTGTGGGGTGTTTGTGATCCAAAGGGGTAAACATAGTGGTTGCACTAGCATCACTGCTGAAAACGAGAAATTGAAACTGTCTATTTTCCTCAGATGTGGATGAGTGTAGCAGTAACCACCGCTGTCAACACGGCTGTCAGAACATGTTGGGAGGTTTCCGCTGTGGCTGTCCTCAGGGCTATGTGCAGCACTACCAGTGGAACCAGTGTGTGGGTGAGTTATACTGGCTCAGTCTGGGAGTTTGTCATGTTGACAGTAATGAACCACAAAGACACCGGTGGTACGGAGAACCTGGGGAATTCAAGTCTTTTAAAGCTTATTATAAGAGTGCAATAACATGTTTCTCTCTAGTATCATTTTATATAAAAATCTGTGCTTAGATGCCTTCGAGTCCTTGTCATTGTGTAGTAATGTAAAAACAGTAATGACAATTTAAATAATCATAATCATTAGAATAACAAATGTATTTTCTAGACTGATCTGATTTTATTTGACATTGAAATAGACATATAAATGTACTGATTAACATGAAACAGGACAGAATTATACTAAAGCATTCATTGCACAGGACACAGACTGAATGATAGTTAAAGGTTGTAGGTAAAGGTATTGCCACAAGTATGTTTAAATGGGAATGATATAAGGAATGGAGGTGGGGTCCGTGGGGAGGAAAGGAGGCAGCTTAGAGGAGGCTGGTTTGGGCAGAAGGTGAAGGGAAGCGTGGTGAGCATGTGAAGCTGGCAGGCAGGTTAGTAGTGATCCTGGAGCACAGGAAAACACAGATCAAAAGGCACACAAAAACCAAGGACCCAGGGAATCCAGGGAGGGAGACCACGCCCACCCAAGTGCACACAGACAAAACAAAACGGGGAGAAAGGCAACGGGAACACAGGGAAGACGAAACACAGACCGTTTATACCTAGTATTAACATACGTCTTGGTGTAAACGATTACCAAGACACATTGTGATCTGATCACTCAGACCACATTCAGAGGTGGTCCAGGCCACATATGGCCACATTCTGTCAGCAGTGTGAAGGCTAATGTGTCATGGGCCACACTGAACAACCGCCAACTCAGCTGACATTGTTGCTTACTGTCCCTGGAGCCACTTTACTCCTGGCCAAGGGTGAGGTAGTTCAATGTCCTCCCTGTTAGCATGAGCTAACAGCAGCAGCTGTTAAACGATCCCAACAAACTCAACTTAACTGTCAATAAACCTGTTAAAACCGTAGATACAGCACGGGGAGAGAGTGAGAATTGGGTCTGTAAATAGTCTGTAAGTATATGTATAGATTTACAAAGCTCCCAGCAGTTTAAAACATCAAAAACACATTTGGTCTGACCCAAGACTCATGATAATACCAGGTATTAAATTCTAGGGAAAACACATAAGTTACGGCAGTACCATAACAACAGTCATCTATAAAAATAATCACCTTATGATGATTTGCCGAGTTCTTTTCCATCATCATCATCAAAATGCAGAAGAAATGTCCCAAGGCCTGCACTGTATCATCTCCTATCACACTCACCTTGTACTTTTTTGTCCCTGTACCTTTTTTCTCTTTCCTCTGCAGATGAAAACGAATGTCAGGCAGGATCAGTGTGTGGCTCTGCCTCCTGCTATAACACCCTGGGCAGCTTCAAGTGTGTGTGTCCCTCCGGCTTTGACTTTGAGCAGGGCGCCGGTGGCTGCCAAGATGTGAATGAATGTAGCACGGGCAGCAACCCCTGCATCTACGGCTGCTCCAACACCGATGGAGGCTACCTGTGTGGCTGTCCGGGAGGTTTCTACAGAGCTGGACAGGGGTGAGGGAGCAGGAATTAAAAAAGATTTATTTAAGCAGCCAGTGTTATAAGAAAACCATGTTTCATGTGCTGGTTGTGTTGCTCATGAATTTGAAATGAATTTCCTCCCATCTGACACTCTTGTTGTTTCCATCCAGTCATTGTATGACAGGCTCGGGTTTCCCAGGCCAGTTTTTGGAGGGTGATGACGAAGACAGTCTGTCTCCTGAGGCCTGCTAAGAGTGTAAGATCAACGGAGGAGGAAAGAAGGCGCGACACAAACGCAATGCTGATGAAAATGACATCCACCAGGTACGTGTGTTGACAGACTGCCTCTCAATTCTCGTCTCACTGAGTCTTTTGAGCCATTTTTGATTTTCTAAAGAATTCAAAATAAGTGTTGTGTTGTAAGAATATTCATGTGTTGAGGTCTTTATCTGAGAATGGGATGTTTCTGCTACCTCAGGTTTAGTGTTGTCAAAAATATTGATTTATTAACACATAACAATTCTGGATATTTGAATTCTGAATGTTTCAATACTCATTTTCCCTGCAGTAACAGCTGCACTTTCTTGCTCTCTCTGGTTGTTAATGTTTAAAATAGTCCAAGAATAGAAAAGTTGTCATTGTCATGTTATAGCCTTCTTATATTCATCTTTTAACATATATATATATATATTATTTTATGCTCTCAATGTCACTTTTCCCCGTGGTATTGAAAATGGTATTGAATATCGATGTTTTTCACTGTGTTGTACTGAAGTTAGAGATGTTTCACCTCGTGCCCTCTGCCCTCATCTTCACTACAGGAGCCAGCAGTGAGTATGGCCAGCATAGACACCCAGAGCTCCATCCCCATGAACATTTCTCGGTCCTCGCTGCTCAACAAGGAGCCTCTGCTGGAACTTCTGCCCGCCCTGCAGCCGCTAGAGCATCACGTGCGCTACGTCATCACCCACGGAAACGCTAATGAACACTTCCGCCTGCTGGAACGACGCGACGGAAAGACTGTGCTCCGGCTCGGCAAGAGGCCGCCTCCAGCGGGATCGTACCAGCTAGAGATCGCCAGCCTGCGGCTGTTCGGGCCCCGAAGACTACACCAGCTGGAGGAGCTACACGACAGTGATTACCTACAAGGGGAGATAGGAGACGCCCTGCGCATCAAGCTCCTCATCCACCTGCACTGAGCTCAGAGTGCGCTCATGACGATCCCGTCCTGGACTGATTTCTAAAGCCTTTGAGTTTTAACCTTCTCCCTTATTCAGTAACTCCTCCAGCTCCCCCCTGCAGGACCATCCCCACCGACAGGGGTTACCAAGGGCTACGAAAGACTGAGTCAATCAGCCCAACTCTACCACCACTTTGTTACTGTTTATGTTATTATATGTTTTGTGTTTTTTTTTTTGTTTGTTTGTTTTGTTTTTTTACCCTGACTTCACTTCCCCTTGCTCCCCTCTACTTGTACCCAAACCAGCACTCATTCTCCACTGAGAGAGCCAGCAGAGGAGATGGCAGAGAGGTGCCTTAGAGCTTGGACCATAGCCCCCCTGATAAAGACAAGATGGCAGACAGATGGTTCACAAGTCCATGAAGCACTTTTGTAGATGAGCAAAGCAAGAAATTAAACAAAACAGAAATGAAGTGCTGAGAGTGGCCAAAACTGTCTAAATGCAACATGTGTGGTAGTACTTAATCACACGCAGTGATGTCTTTGTGTTTAGTGTTAAAGAAGTGACATCAGGGCATCGTCATTTTGGTCCAAGGACTTTCTCACCTCTCTGTGATCTTGTCATCACAACACTGGGGAACAAGGTTTGTCACGTCGGCCCCTCTCAGTATTGTAGTGTCATTTAATGTATTTGTGCTGTTTGAAAAAATGTTAACACGAAGGACTGCAACATTTACACAGCATTTCAGGTTCTTTAGCCAATAGCGGTCTGTCTTATAGCTGGATGACAACCAATTTTCAGACGAAAAAAAAAAAACAGCAAGCTGTGCTCTACTCTGATGTAACTGACTTTTGTCCTGCCTGCGGGCAGCGGCAAGCAGGGATTAGCGTGTTTGCGTGTGTGTGCTGTCATGTTTGGTTACCTCAGTACTTCTCAATGAGTATGGACACCATGCTGCGATGCTGACTTTGAAACACATAAAAAAGGGTGCTAGTGTCGCTCAGCATCCATCATGAGCAGGGAGTACACCAGCTAGTAGCTCGTAGACTTAAAAGAAGATAGATCGGGTCACGTTTGTATTTATCCTTGTAGGGATTAAGACTTGAGGTGCACTGATTCTGGAGCTGAGAGCCAGCTTTCTCATTAAGTCCAAAGTATTTTTCCCTTGTTGGCTGTCGGAGGCTTGTGGCCCCTCAAACTAAACATAAATGCTACAGGAGAATGGAGCTGTAGCTGACAGCCAGCGTCGTGAGGCTGAACTTGACTATAAGCTGACTTTATCTGACTTCTTTGACTTCACCGTGAGCTCGATGTCTAAGGTCTGAGGCCTCGTTTACAACACACAGAGAGAGACACAGCTGACTACAGTAGCAGTCTCAAAGGTACATGACATATTAACCTAAGCTGTAACTAAAGGCAGTGCTTTACAGTGTAAGGGCACGCACAGGTGAACACGAAACCTCACAAGAAAACAAATATCTGTCAGGTCATCGTTCATTTCTCATGATTTTTTTTTTCTCTCAAAGAGGAAAAAGGTGCTAGATAAAAACCATCTCTTTCGCTGTACAAAGAAAGTGCAGTCTTGAATCTGGATTGCAAAAAATGAGTTCTTTTTTTTTTTTTTCTTTCGCTAGGATTTATTGTTGTGTATGTCTGTCTTTTGTATTGTCTCAGTGCTGAAAAACAATATTATCAAACTTGCTTCTTGAAAATTAAATTGTATATTTTTAAGTGAAATGTAGATGTTTTTTTTTTTTTGTTTGTTTTTTTGTTTTGTTTTTTAAATGTCAAGGCTGCCAAAACAAATACTCACAGTAAACCCAAGATTGAAGGCCTTTAAGTGCTGTTGACTTTGTTTTGTTGAGAGAAAAAAGCAGCAAATCCAGCAAAAAGCAAATGCGGCATTGTGTTTGTCGATCACTGACTGTACTGTTTGAAACCACTGTTGCCAGTCAAATCAGCCATCAGCAAAAAGAAATCGAAACAAGTCAGACTTAATAAACATTCCCGTCGTCTATTATCTCATACAAGCTTACACTGTCTGTACAGTGCCATTAGGATCAATGACTATCTGCAGCTAGGATCTATGGTGCTAAACAATATAACAGTCAAGGTTGCTGCACTGTCCCACAGTCTTGGCAATGTTTATAATACATAACCATTTTTCTAACCTGGGAACCTTTGTATACTTGTATCTTTATTGTCAGTTTGTAATTTTTCTTTTATTTGCCACTATGGTTTTTTTTTTAAAAAAAGGCAGTTTGTTGCGTGTGCTTACTGTATCTCAGCTTCAGTGTCAAACTTGAAACAATACTGTCATCATCATCTGCTTGCATTGAAATGTGTACTTTATACTTTTGATACCAGAGTCCAGCTGAAAGCTGACATGACAATCATCCAGTCACACCACACATACCAGCTGACGATCAATAACTCAATCAGCCATCACGGAACATCTTTAAACATACTGAATGATCATCATTCTGGTGCAAAGACAAAAACCAAAGATTTATAACACCAAATGGCAGTCTGTAAAATTAGAGTGATTCACATAATATTGTAAACTTTTGTCCAGTGACTTTAACGGCAATAAAGTATTGTGGGTTATATTTTTAAATGTTGTGTCCTGAGTCATTCTTTCTAGTTCAGAACCCAATCATGTTCCAGACACACAATAAATATATTTTAATTGTGGATTTCTACTGTAAACGCACTCATAAATCATTTTCTTATATATTCCAATGGACGGAGAACATAGATGAATTACTGATTGGGCCCAATGGGCACAGACCTCAGGGCCCAAAGTGTAAGGAGTGGCCCCTGTGTCACGTGTCACTTCAAGGAGGACCCAAATGCAGACAGGTTGAATTTTCAACCAAAAGTCAGCTTTAATGCAGATGATAGAAATAATCCGATACAGGCAGGCAACTCAAAGTCCAGATGCAAGCAGAACAAAACTGAAAACTAACTCGGATAATACGATAAACTCAAATCCAAACAGAACATGAGGCAGGAAACGGAGCAGGGAATGTGACCAGGGAACACAGGGATGAGCACAGGAATAACCCAAGATGACAAGGCAAGGCAAGAATGCAGGAATGACCACAGGTGAACTGACAGTGAACAAAAGGAAACACACAGGTATATACACAGAAAACTAATCACAAGAATGAGACACAGCTGGAGTAGGAAGACACGGGCAAAAGGAGGGACTAGACTAATACAGAACAGGTGTGAAGGGAAGACTGGCCCTGCGTTCCAATACCCATACTACCATACTATTTAGTATGCCAGAAAAAGAATTAGTGTGTCCCAATACGTCAGATGCAGTATGCCAAAAGTACCAGGATGTTCTACTACATCCGGCCATATTTAGCAGTATGCATGTCAGCATGCTTCTTTGGCCATTCCGTCCCACAATCCTTTGCGCAGCGGAAGTTACGTCACACTTACTGAGCTGCATGTACAACCAACGCCCACACTTCCTTTCATACATGGTTTATTTAATTTGAGATACTAATACACTACATATTAGGACTGCAATGATCTGATTATATACTGTCACATATCATACAGTTTTGCAAGAACACAGATACAACATTCAACTTTATTGTGATTATAGTATAATCAATGTTAGGGTTCAACTATGACTACAATATAGAAGATTCTACCAGTATAGGCAGTGGGGTAAGTGTGGTATAAATAATGAATGAATATGACTAAATATGAATACACTATGGGCCAGGTATGAGCAGTATAGACTAGTAAATATATAAATAGTAAAAGTCAAATACATATTAAGTAATGTAGTAAGAATGTGCAGGTATGTTACACTACAAATAAAAGTAATGCCTCCCGTGCAGACAGAATATAGTGCAAGCAGCTGCATAGCTGTAAATATATTTAACATCAAACATCTGCCAGCAACAGAGAGCTATGTGTGAAGGGGGTTAATAAGCCTACTGGTGACTAGTTCAATAGACAGGTCACTAATAATAGGCTTGGAACTGTTTACGTGAACACGTCAGTTTATTAGAAACAGCAACATACATTACGACATAACAGCAACAGAGCTCTCTGGCACCTCCAACGGTATGCACAGCTCTGGCGAGCTTGACAAGAGGAGATTTGCTGCATCTCCGAAGTACAACAACACAAAATATTCAAATGTGGCGCTACGGAAGGCGGCGGAAGTGAGCAAGAGGGTCAGAGTTCAGGGAGCGATGTGATGGCGAATGTAGTGTGTCCCAATAGTATGCATACTGCATGCATACTGCATACTACACTACATACTTTTTAAGGGCAGCTGCAGTACATACTAAAAGTATATAGTAGAAGTATGCGATTTGGAACGCAGGGTGGGAACAGGGAAGGACTAACGAGACAGGTGTGACAGAAAACAGGTGGGAAAACACACAAAGACAGGAAGTAAAACCAAACACAACACATGAGCAAAGAACCTACAAAATAAAAGAGGAAGCAGATTAAAACATGAATGAATAACATGAAACAAAGAACACAAACTCCTAAATAAAGTCCATAGGATAACAGAGTATAAACAAACCCAGGATCATGACACCCTGGCCTTCACCTGCAAAATGTCACTGAAATTACTGACCAGGAAGAGACTCAAAAAGACCACAGATGAGAAGAGATGCAAAACAACTACAAAGAGACTCAACATTTGCAAAGAGACAGAAAGCAGAATGACACAAAATTACCTCAAAGACACTCAAAAGCAGAAAAAAGATGCGAAACAACAACAAAAAAGAGG